ATAAATACAGTATATACAAGACCTCTAGGCCGACTGGGAGCTAGTGTCAGCACACCATATAAAATAAATCACATCTTTATTTCACTTATAAATCTTATAAACCTCTTATAAGTCACAACTTTGTGGACATCATGGCTCGTCATCTGTCCATCCTCGTGAGGCTAATGACAATTTTAAAGCTCAAATAATACTTTCTTTTATGAAAAACAAAAAATTAAGTACGTGCTTTTACCAAAAAAACTAAATGATATACTGTATAGTTTCACATTCCAGCTTCACATTCTTCCAAAAGTGATTTCTGCTTTTAAAAACAACAACTACGACAACAACTACTATAAAACTGAAAGACAAGACAAATGTATTTTCTATGGTGATCGACATTATGCAGCTCAATTTGTCTTGAACCCATAATTGTTGGCTCAAGGTGGCGTGAATCTTTTCTCTTGTTTCACCAGCTGTTCAACACAAAGACACCTCACCTGTTAACGTGGGCTCTGGTACGTCCACTTCCAGTCTGGCTGGAGACTTCCTCACCCCTCCGGCCTCTGCTGATGTCGCCGCTGACATCGACAAGTACACCACTAAGGTGAGTCAGATATTCACTCACTTCTGATGTAAATACTGTTCAATCCAAAAATTCTGTTAAATAGCATATATATATATATATATAGTACAATGAAGCAATAGAGCATTTTTAAATAGTCTGTTTTCAAACACAAAGCCTGCAGCATTGGCAGGCCATAGATACAGCTCCCTAATTCCGGAAAATCTGAAAACCATTATTAAAAAATTATACATAAATACAGTATATACATTCTAGTGTGTAAATTCATTATATGGAATGAATCAAGATGGTTTTTGGATAATGATTTGAATTGATCCTTGTTTAATTCTTCTGCTGAACTACGGTTACTTAAATTGTGCCTAAATAATTTTTTTTTTTTTAATGATGAATTTGGCTGTTGTCTGTGTTTTCCATCATAATGGCAGGTGATGGACGTGATCAAGGGAACAATGACAGAGATATACAATGATCTCTCTAAGAGCACGACGGGGAACACCATTGCAGAGGTTTGTGCTTTTATGTCATTTCTGCTTGATTTTATTCCACCGTTCATACTCTTTCTCAAAATGTATTTTATAAAAAATTACATTTATAGGCTGCAGGCTGACAGATTGAATTTCTATAATGGCAATAGTTTATGGTTCTCTTGGTTGACATTCCCTGTGGATTTTGTTGCAGATCCGGCGGTTGCGGATTGAGATTGAGAAACTCCAGTGGTTGCATCAGCAGGAGCTGTCAGAGATGAAACATAACCTCGGTAACTCTCCTTTATGACTTAAAATAGCTCTGTAAACTGCTTTATGGTAGCTTTCTGATAGCAAATGCTTTTATTATCCAATGCAATGTAGAGAACATTTACAGAGAACAGATCACTGAACTCCTTTCCTACAAGTTCTAGATGAGCAAGGCAGAGCTTCAGCCACTGATATATCACTATTGTGTGTGTGTGTGTGTGTGTGTGTGTGTGTGTAGAGCTGACCATGGCTGAAATGAGGCAGAGTCTGGAGCAGGAGAGAGAGCGGCTGGTGTCAGAGGTGAAGAAACAGATGGAGATGGAGAAGCAGCAGGCGGTGGACGAGACCAAGAAGAAGCAGTGGTGTGCCAACTGCAAGAAAGAGGCCATTTTCTACTGCTGCTGGAACACAAGTTACTGCGACTACCCCTGCCAGCAGGCACACTGGCCCGAACACATGAAATCCTGCACACAGTCAGGTAACCAACCAGTTCTACACCTTACTCTCTTTTTTTCCATTTTTGGCTTTTTACACTCTTAACAATAAAGGTTCCGTGAAGAACCTTTATCATCAATGAAGACTTTCTAGTGCACTAAAGGTTCTTTATAATGGAATAATCAATATGTTCTTCACGCTAAGTGGTTCTTTCAGTGGCAGTGCTATAAAAACCTGCTTTTGGAAGTTTTATTTCCAAGAGTGTACCACTTTTAGCAAAAGACTAGAAGAGAGAGGACAAGAAATGACAGGGATCAAGAAACAGGCCAGATTCAAACTTTTATTGCCCAGATTAGCACCAAAGCTCCGTGTGTAAATGACACCAAATGCAAGACCACAACTCTGAATGGCTAATAGCATACTAACATACCACTCACACTGTTTCTCCAGTGTATATAATGCATATACTGCGCACAGAATGCCAATAATTTTATACATGGAATGGAATATATTTGGCAAAATAGTGTATACATTGAATTTTAATTTGCAGCGTAGTGCAGTGTAATTGTCTCTTATTATTATTATTATTATTTTACTTGTTGTAGTGTGATTAGAATATTGTGAATAAGTGATGTTAAGACATTTTACATAATTAAAAAATACTAAACAACAAATTTTAACTCCAAAAAAGATAACTGAAAGCCACTCACATCATTGAATAGGTACTATTTTACTATTTATTTATTTTTCTTTTTACCGTTTTATTTACCATTTACTATAGACCCTTTTCAAGTTAGGGTCAAGTTTCTTTGAAGTGGTTGTCATATTTGGATAAAGTTCTGTATTGGTAAATAAAAACTTTAACGTATATAATTTTTGCATTCCATTTTGCCCCAATACACTCTGCTAATCCACAAATCCATAGCTGTTGTATTAGAAACACTCACGCAACAGTGTTAACCTTTTTGTGTGTGTGTGTGTGTGTAATTTAATGCCAAGGTAATAAAACACAAAAGTATAGTGTTATAAATGTACTTTATATTTAAAAAAAAATTTAAAAATATAAAAACTTGCTAGATTTACAATGTTAATAACTGTAAAAATGCATCAGAACAGTCTGTGAAAAGTCAATTTTTTTTAACTAATAAGCAGTATACACTGTGCAGTATTCAGTATGTAAGCTAGGATTCCATTCTAAACATAGCCACTTTCTGTTTTCTTTTGCATTTATTACTGAATAGCAATTGAGTTATAGGGTTCTCTTTTTCATCTCCTCAGCCACGGCATCTCAGCAAGAAACTGAAGCAGAAGCCAGTTCAGAATCAGCCGGAAAACCTGTAGGACAGTCCCCTAAAACCCAACCTTCACCAACCGGAGAAAGAACATCACCCGCAAACCGAGGAGCCTCCCCTTCCACGGACAGCACTAAAGGCAGCTCCTCCGTGGCCGTCTCATAACCCGAGTGCGAAATCTTTTTATCATCAGAACGGTGCCATTCAAGGAGAGTCAGATGTTCACACCAAAGGACCTTGACTCATTTCGAACAGACTGTTTCTTGTTCAGTGTGATCATGACATGGTGTCCCTTCCAGTTCACTACATCCAACACAACATTAGGGTAATGCCTATAAACATTTGATTCATTTCTACGTACATTTCGTATTTGAATTTGTGACTTGTTTAGTACAAAGACAGAAACACCCTTTGATATAAAATATGCAGCTGTAAAACTGTTGTCCTTTTTTTTTTTTTATACATATCAACTTTTGTAAACTTCAACAAATGTGTTTGATCAATATAATTTTTTTTCTCTTAATGTGAAAGATGCACTTAGAAGTGCCTCCGAAAGAGTAAGTTCATTTTATCAAATGAAGAGCGTGTTTGTACAAGGTCAAAAACATACGGAATATGATTGTTAGTACTAATGGATTGTCACTACGGGGTTTTTTTGGGGGCGGGGGCTTCCAGTTCACTACATCCAACACAACATTAGGGTAATGCCTATAAACATTTGATTCATTTCTACGTACATTTCGTATTTGAATTTGTGACTTGTTTAGTACAAAGACAGAAACACCCTTTGATATAAAATATGCAGCTGTAAAACTGTTGTCCTTTTTTTTTTTTTATACATATCAACTTTTGTAAACTTCAACAAATGTGTTTGATCAGTATAATTTTTTTTCTCTTAATGTGAAAGATGCACTTAGAAGTGCCTCCGAAAGAGTAAGTTAATTTTATAAAGGCTTCTTGACAAAGAAATAAACAAAAAGAAGCAAAAGTCTAGAGGCGTAAAAGAAAATATTATACTTATTGTGGGCATGTTTCTTTTTTCCTCTTGTCTTGTGGACTCTCTTGTTTACATACTGTAAATACAAAAGAATAAGCAGAGATGATATCTGTAAGAAAATAAAGTCTTCATGAGACAAATCTTTAGTGTTTTACACATTTGTGTCAAGAATAGCTGTCTTAAGCATTTCCCTTACTGTAACACTTTAGTTTAGGGACCAATTCAACTTTGGTAATCGGCAGTGGATTGTCACTACGGGGTTTTGTTGGGGGGGGGGGTGGGGGGGGGGTTAAAGATTGAATTCTTTAATATCTTTCACCCGTGAAAGGCTTCTTGACAAAGAAATAAACAAAAAGAAGCAAAAGTCTAGAGGCGTAAAAGAAAAGATTATACTTATTGTGGGCATGTTTCTTTTTTTCTCTTGTCTTGTTTACATACTGTAAATACAAAAGAATAAGCAGAGATGATATCTGTAAGAAAATAAAGTCTTCATGAGACAAATCTTTCGTGTTTTACACATTTGTGTCAAGAATAGCTGTCTTAAGCATTTCCCTTACTGTAACACTTTAGTTTAGGGACCAATTCAACTTTGGTAATCGGCATACAAATTACTAGCATATTGGCTGTTTATTAGTACTTATAAAGCACATGTTAATGCATTATTTTGCATGACCATATTTTAGATCCCTTAACCCTGCCCTATTCTCAAACTTAACTATCTTACTAACTATTAATAATCAGCAAATTTGGAGTTTATTCAGACAAAAGTCGTTAATAGTGAGAATTGGTCCCCAAACTAAAGCGTGACTTCCCGGACACATTCTTTGTATGTTTGATGTATATTTCTACATCAATAATTATTATTTTAAAAAATTGATTTAGCGTACATCAATAAAATCTCATTTTAACATAAATACAAGTCCTTCAATATATTACCAAATAAAAGCGATGAGACGGAAAGACTCTTATTTTGCCACTTTTCCTGCGTATCTGTACGTGATGACGTAAGACGCCCAAAGAGCAAACCGACGCATGATCTGAGCGAAAGAGGTAAAACTCGGCTGAGACACCTCAAATACCGTTAGATATTCTTCCTTTTCTTTTACTCTATAAACTAATAAAGCAGAGTGGTATGTTATGACAACGTCGTTAAAGCGTTTGACCCATTGGGAATGGTTTATTTTAAACGAGTGCGCTGAAATGAACGGTTAGCCCCGGCCGCTAACGGAAGCTGCTAATACCGTTAGATATTCTTCCTTTTCTTTTACTCTATAAACTAATGAAGCAGAGTGGTATGTTATGACAACGTCGTTAAAGCGTTTGACCCATTGGGAATGGTTTATTTTAAACGAGTGCGCTGAAATGAACGGTTAGCCCCGGCCGCTAACGGAAGCTGCTGCTGCTGCTGATGTTTTATGGGACAAAGAATTAGCTAGGCTTGTCTTATATTTCGTCGGTACTCTGGTCTATGAGGCCGGTGTTTGAGGTTTAATACGTACATTAATTTTAGCCTTCTTGTTTTAATAAGTAACGTTATCGGTAAACACGTCTGTTATCAGGGTTATAGTGTGGAAGGCGAGGCCCGGATGTAGAAGAGCAGCTGAGGCGGTGTTTGCCTCAAGGGCTGTGTCTCAAAACCCTGCGAGCTGCCTAAAAAGAAAGCATTTTGGGCGTCAAAAGCGCATTCGAGTCGAACGTGCTTATAACTGAAATGACTTCGAATAGAATGCTGTCTAGGTAGGGCAACTTGTTAGGTTTTAAGGCACAGACAAAGTGACTGACATTATTGCTGTCTTTCTCAGCATCTGCTTAGCTGTCTTGAGACTCTGGCTGGCTTAATGCCATTACAGCTCCATTCTTCTTCGTAGTTTGTCACACTATGAAGTCTTTTGTTGACAGGAAAATCAAGAATATTGTGTTTTGTTGATTGGTTGGTTTTGGATGGACGGATAGAAGAGGAAATGTGAGATTTAATATCCGTGATACACTCCCTTAAGATTCACCCATGTGATGAAATACGTTCATTGCAGTGCTTATGTTTCTTTATACTCTGTCAAGTTTAATGTATGATAATAATTGAGCATCCTTTAGAGTCAGATATAAGGCAGACAGAATAAGTCTTATATTATTATAATATTATGTTGATCGATAATAGCCTAATATTATATGCCCTAGCTTCAACACTGTTCATTTTCAGTCTGCGTCAGCAACACATGGTTACTCATCACAATGTCTCATTTATCTCTTGCTTCATTCTAGGACATGGCTGTGAACGTATATTCCACTTCAGTGACTAGCGACAATCTGAGTCGCCATGACATGCTCGCATGGATCAATGAGTCTCTACAGATGAACTTTACCAAGATCGAGCTTTTATGTTCAGGTGAGTTGTATGCGGCTTTGTAGTAAAGAGTGTAAGAATGTATGCGGCTTTGTTGTACAGAGTGCAACAGCTGGGTTCTGAAAGTAAAAATTCCATTTCTTTCATAAGGAAATTTATGGAAATGTAAGGAAATAGCTGGTTGGTTTGATCAAAGACTTCTTTTAAATATCTATGATAAAATGAATGGAAAAAATTACTAAAGAAATTGGCATGCGCTTTATAATAATGGATATGTTTTGGAGTAATGGAAGCATGTTTGTAATCTGATTTTCTCTACAGGTGCAGCCTACTGCCAGTTTATGGACATGCTGTTTCCAGGCTGCATACCTTTGAAGAAAGTAAAATTTGGTGCAAAGTTAGAGCATGAATACATTCACAATTTTAAGATATTGCAGGCCGCCTTCAAGAGGATGGGCGTTGACAAAGTGAGTTGTTTAATTTCTTTTCCTCAAGCTTGTCTGCACAAGCAGTGTTTGTCTTTGAGCAAAACATTTTAGAGATTCATCAACAAGCCACTTAGGTTTATTAATTTCCATTTTATCAGAAAAATTATATTCACTAGAGTATGCTATCATTATTGGAGTTTGGAACCAATTATACCTTTTTTTGTTGTTGTTGTTCCTTAATTTCACCAACAAAACAGTGACCCTAATAAATCCATGAAATAATATTTGAATGTGTTTTCCCCATCAGATTATCCCGGTTGACAAGTTGGTGAAGGGCAAATTTCAAGACAATTTTGAATATGTTCAGTGGTTTAAGAAGTTCTTTGATGCCAATTACGACGGAAAAGACTATGACCCAGTGGAAGCGCGACAGGGCCAGGACACCATGCCTCCACCCAACCCCTCCATGTCTGCCCTCAGCAAGCCCAAGAAGATCATGAATGCAGGTTGGTTACATTGCACTGGCTGTTTGCACCTCATAGTTTGATCTCAGCATTTAGGATTAGACATACATTTTTATGTTTTACACATCTGCCCAAAAAGGTCAGATATTCAGAACTACAGTAGCATTCAACCGTTTGTGGTCAGTAATATTGATGTTTTTTTCTTTAAGGTTTATTTTGGCATTTTTTGCATTTATTACGATAGAACGGTGTAGAGGAGAAAGGAAGCGAAGAGGGAGAGAGTGAGGGGGGTGGGATCAGGAAAGGTCCTCCAGCTGGGATTTGAACTCTGGACACCCATAACGCAACAACATCATATGCAGTGTTAATCATTTTCATCATAATGTTCGTCAACGACATTTTTTTCACTGACGGTAACGAACTAAACCTCTTTTTGAATGACAAAAATAATGCAGGTTGGTTACATTGCACTGGCTGTTTGCACCTCATAGTTTGATCTCAGCATTTAGGATTAGACATACATTTTTATGTTTTACACATCTGCCCAAAAAGGTCAGATATTCAGAACTACAGTAGCATTCAACCGTTTGTGGTCAGTAATATTGATGTTTTTTTCTTTAAGGTTTATTTTGGCATTTTTTGCATTTATTACGATAGAACGGTGTAGAGGAGAAAGGAAGCGAAGAGGGAGAGAGTGAGGGGGGTGGGATCAGGAAAGGTCCTCCAGCTGGGATTTGAACTCTGGACACCCATAACGCAACAACATCATATGCAGTGTTAATCATTTTCGTCATAATGTTCGTCAACGACATTTTTTTCACTGACGATAACGAACTAAACCTCTTTTTGAATGACAAAAATATATTGACATTTTCATCAACGAATAAAAACTAGATGAAAATGTTAGGGAGGGACGATTTGGGAAGAGATTCATTCAATTTCAGAACGAATCTGCTGCGTGGTTCAGAGGTTAGATGCGTACATATGAACCGGCGGGACATAAAACGTAAAAAATTTAAATATGTGGGAGTAAGAGAAGAGCAGACTTATAGATAAATCTGACAACGCAAGAGAGAACTCATTTCGGTCTGGTTTTCTGAGCGCAGACACTGAAGCATACACACACAGAAAGCACGTCTCTCAGCCATAGACTGTATGCTCACAGCACACGAGTACTCTTTCACGTCGCATAAACGGAGAATTACACACAAAATGATGTCGAATTGTCCGTTTTGACGTGTATTCATGTAAACACAGTTGATTACGTCTTAAGTGAACGTAAACAGCAGGGAGAATGTGTATCAGTACATTGCATCCACTGCAGCTGTGCATTCGGTTTTAAAGGGACAGCAGCCTAATTTAGTTGCTATTGTTCGAGTCATTGATGTTAATCAAGCAACAAAAGAAAGACAGAAAATCACGCACTGCTCTTGACTGAATCACTTTAGTAGCCCTAAAGATTCATCTAAATTTATTTACAGAAATAAATATGTCGGCTTGAAAGGATGAAGAATATGGTAAACAAGTTGCTATAATGAATGCATAATTAGCCTATATAACCATTGGCATTTCATTAAAAAGAAGACCATGGTCTTGTTCTTTATGAGAACTGGTTTTCTTTAATTTTAACATAAAGGCATGTTGTGTGTCACCGCAGTTAAATCGGTGTCTATAATGATAAAACATTAATATCAAACCTATATAACGAGATTGGAAATTTTGGAGAAATGCTTAATAAAAGCATTACACTGTAACTAAACCCATTCGATTTTAGTCGTCTAAATTTACTGTAGATTTAGTCGACTAAAATCATATGATATTTAGTCGACTAAAGCTAGACTAAAACTAAAAACAATTCAGGTGACTAAAACTAAATGGCATTTTAGTCAAAAGACAATGACTAAAACTAAATCAAATGTTGCTGTCAAAATTAACACTGATCATATGTCAGCACACAATTTACTCACCCTCAAGATGTAGGTGACTTTTTTTCAATGTCAATGGCTACTGTCACTTTGAAGAAGAAAGAAAAAAGCATATCAGGCAGCACAATTTTTATAAAGCAATTCTGTACAAGAAACTCAACATCATTTACAACATTACCTGTAATTCATAGCCTCAGGCAAGCAGTCCTGAGCATGTTCACCAGAGTCTGGAGCATGCGCTTCCTGTAGCATAATAAAGCAAACTGTGTTGTGTACTGTTCATCAAAATGGTACTTGTGCTTATCCTGGAAGCCTCAACCTAAATAAAATGCATGATCTCAACAGGAAGCGACAATGGTTCTTAAGCGCCAAATCAGCATATTAAAATGTTTCTGAAGGATCATGTGACAGCTTTGCCATCACTGGAATAAATCACATTTTTAAATATTTTATATTTAAATTTCAAACCGTAATATTTTGAAATATTTCTTTTTACTGTAGTTTTGAGCAAATAAATGTAGCCTTGGTGAGCATAAGAGACTTCTGTCAAAATCATTAAAAACAAAATCTTACTAACCCCAAAATCTTGAACGATATTGTATTTTCTATTTTATTTTCCCATTTTATTGATATCCACCAGGCACTGCATTATGTTCTTGTGCGCTTACATGAATTCTTCGGTAAGATGTACATTAACTGATCATTTTGTTCTGGCCAAAAACGTCTGTGTTCATTGGCTTACTGCAGTCCATCAGTCGACTTCTGTTAAGACTGCCACGCCAGCTGCTTAAGATGCGGCTTGGGTTTTTGGGCTTTTAAATGTCTTCAGTGTCTGTAGGCGATTCAAATGGTGGATCACTTTGAATGTAGTTTGTACACTTTAGTTTATGTAACAGTTTCAGTCTGGTCCCGTTTCTGCTGATACATCTCAGTCTTTACTGACTAGTCACCATCTGCTCACTGAAGTCTAGGCAGTATAGACAATGAGAGGTGTCAGCTAAGAAATACACATGGTTTTGGTTGCTGGAGAAGTTGACTTTGTTGCAGTCATTCTAGTAAATTGAAAGTTTAAATGATTTTTAAAAGTCACAACATTAAATAGTTTTTTAAGTGTCACCACCTTACTAACCCACCCACATGGAAAGTGCTGGACAGGAACTCTTCTGAAAAGGGAACATGTGATGAGTCTGATATGCTTTTAGACTGTTAGTCATTTTAATATGTAGGCATATATGGGCATAAAAGCAGTATGAAATGGTCTTCACAACCCATCTTACTTCCATAATCTGATATGTTTCTAAATAAAGCTGGATATTCAAGGAGAAAAACAGGGTGTGCTTGACTTTTGACTTTTGAGAATTAATTGAACCATGAAAAATGAGCATCACCATATCAGAAGTAAATGGGTACATTCTGATTACAGGTTGACTGGTTCACTGCAGTTAAATACTTTATTCTCAACACAACGACTTGCACTTCAGTGCATTTCAATAACCGGTCCAGTGATGTTGTTATACTATCAGAAGGTTATTAACTACTCTATTTCCTGTATTTCAAACTAGTTTGTTGGCATCTTCCTACTTATTGCTTGTTCCCAACAGCACCACAGAGAGCAGCTGTTGCCAAGGTAACACCCAAGATGGCGCCTGGCTCTGCGAGGAGACCTGGTGCCGGTGGTGATGAGGAAAGGGCGGAGCTTATTCAAGAGGTTTGTTATACTATCTCTCACTCACTTTGTTATACATTCTCACATTGTGAGACTCTCACTTTTTATAGTTTGAAACAAGCAAAGGCACACAACGTGCACTATAAAAGTTTCATCTTTGTCTAGTATCATCAGCATTAGTACCTAGTAACTTAACGTATGCATAAAAACTTAAGTGTATTTTGGGTTTTATGACTAAAATGTTTGTTTGGTGACTTTCAGTTAAACATCTTGAAGTCTACAATTCAGGACATGGAGAAAGAGCGGGACTTTTACTTTGGCAAACTGAGGAACATTGAGCTGATCTGTCAAGAGAAGGAGGGGGAGGGAGACCCCACCCTGCAGAGGATTGTGGATATTCTTTATGCCACAGACGTGAGTCAAACACAACTACAGTCTCACCAAAAAGAAACATTTGTTACAACAGACCATATTAGTAATTAACAGTGTTCCCATACTTATTGACCAATGAATTTCATGACTTCTTCATGACCTTTTCAGTCATGTATTAATATGTTATATTCTCTGGCCGATATGGCATCATCTTAGACTTAAAAGGGATAGTTCACCCAAAAATGAAAAAAAACTTGGCGGCAAAGTTTCGGTGAAATGGACTTAAAATGAATGGACAGAAATCTTTCATGATTCATTCGAAATTTCTCCATTTAAAGTGGAGGCCAAAATTATTAGAACTGTGGCAACGTCTCCAAGATGCTCAAGAAACCTACCTGCAAAGCTATAGTACTGTTAAAGGTTTTAGGCACTTGTGTAAAAATGCTGTAAAATGGGGATGCTGTCAAAAATAATGTCATAAATAGATTCTTTATCAGTTAACTTCTGTTAACTAAATTAAATCAACATTTGGTGTGAGCACCCTTTGCGTTTAAAGCAGCTTTTGCCCTCGGTGCACTTGTGCATAGTTTTTCAGGGAGCTTTGCAGGAAGGTCTCTTGAAGCATCTTGGAGACGTTGCCACAGTTCTTCTGGATTTAGTCTGTCTCAGTTTGTTCTGTTTCTTCATGTCATTCCAGACAGACTGGATGATGATGAGATGTTTTTTTTTTTTTTTGTATATTACAGCTGTACATTAATTAAAAAAGCTCAGATATGTCCAGTTTTTACATGACATTGAAAGCCTCTTTATGATTAAATAAAAATAGTTTTTTAATGAACATCACAGAATTCCCAAGTAACAGTCTGTTGCAGATCCACATTAGACGGTCTTGTTCATTAATTTATTGAACTTGTAAACACAGACTAGTGCTGTTCTGGGGAATGTTTCCTGGTTAACGACATCTGCAGTGGAAAACAGTGGAACAATCTTTAAATGACAAGACTTTTCTTATCAGATGACTCAATCTGTCTCTTTCTTTCTCTCTCTCTCGCTCGCTCTCTCAGGAGGGGTTTGTCATACCAGACGCTGAGTCAGAGGACCAGGAGGAGTTCTAATGCTCGTGACTCGCTGCAGTTTTACCCTCCTCTCACCTTTCCATTCCCGTCCTCTCCACACAGTCACTACCCCGCCATCCACACATCATATTATGCATTTGGACTTCCGAACAAACTCCATAGTGAATCCCATTGCGTCTGCTAAAGCATGCATAGACACTCTTCATGTCGAAAGAACTGTTTTAATGCCCTCAGACCTCTGGCTGCCACGATACTCCTGTTTCTCTACGAGGAAGAGTGTGTTTCCCGTCTGTAATATATGATCTAATATTGCTATCCTCTTTCAGCAACTTCAGACACCTGCAGTTGTATATATCTTAAATGTCTCTGAAACGTCTTGGACACATCCTCTGTACAGTGATTTATAGGTGGCGTCTCCCTCCTCACTGCTGTGGTACATATCTGTGATCCCGTCTTACTCAGAACCGTACCTTACTGACACAAAACTGAGGGACGGAATGACAAAACGTGTGTTAGTTCATTGCAGAAACCCTCTCTCTTCCTAGTTTCCACTCATGGTTTTGGTGCTTGCTTTAGCATAAGGCAGGTAGCAGTCACCACCGCTCCAGTCTATCCTCAGTGACTGTGCCTTATTCAGACTGTCTGGAGGGAGTGGACCCAGTCTGACGTTTGTCTTTTCTTTGTTTTATGGATGTAGTGAAGTAGTGTCGTTTTCGAGTCGACGCACGTACTAACACTCAGTCATGCGCTTTGGCCTCCAGGATGCCGATGTACTGTCACGCCACGGTTGCACGCGTTGAAATGTTTTTATTATAATTTTATTGCTTTTATGAAACGATTATCCGTATGAAGTTAGTAGCCACTACGTTGGCGGACTCTGCCAAAATTTGAGTTGACAAGAGCTGCCCGTTTTCTTCCTGTTTTACTGCCTTATATTTAATGCGTTTTTCTATCCTTTCCTTCGCGCTGTCTCTTTTGGCAAATGGTTGTAATTCAAGTTATTAAAGTTTTAAATGTACGTTTTCTTTTGTTTCTTTTAATTATTATTTGTAGACGTAGCGGCAGCAGAATATTGGTTATTTCAGACCCAAATCTTTTAAACACACAAGATGAGAACGTGAAATCTTTTGAGTTATTTTAAAATATTGCGCTCTTTCAAGACCGTTCCCCAGATAACCATGTCAAGCTGATGATACAAATGCAAAAACACTAAAAATATCGACTAAATGAATAAAGTTTTAAATGTACGTTTTCTTTTGTTTCTTTTAATTATTATTTGTAGACGTAGCGGCAGCAGAATATTGGTTATTTCAGACCCAAATCTTTTAAACACACAAGATGAGAACGTGAAATCTTTTGAGTTATTTTAAAATATTGCACTCTTTCAAGACCGTTCCCCAAATAACCATGTCAAGCTGATGATACAAATGCAAAAACACTAAAAATATCGACTAAATGAGCTTTGTAGATGAAAGCTTTACTTCTCACTCTGAATTTGATCTTTCCAGGCAATGCTCGCTCGCTTCATTTGTAATTTTTTGGAGATTCGACATGAATCTGACTTTAGATCACTGTGCCAACTCTGACTTTCTCCGATGTGTAGCTTCATTGTTTTCATGTGTGCTGGTCATTCTCAGTCGATAGGAGTTTTTTTTTTTCTGTGTGTAGTTCTCAATGTTGCATTTTAAATTAATAGCACATGCAAAACCGGCAATCAGAGTTGTTATTGGTGCTATCGAATACCTTGACCCTTAAGATCTTGCCTGTTCGAGCTAGACAAGCCTTTTTGCTGGATGTTTTGGTTCACTGGATTAGAAATATTGCTGCAGTTGGGTGAATATAACAGTGTTGGATCTGATCTAAATAGGAGACAATAGGAAAACAAGTGACACTCACATTTCTGGGCTTGCATTGACAAATATCCCATTGTAATTTCACATAAGCCGAACTGCTCAATATTGGCACAAGGTGGATGCAAGTAGAAATGTGGAAGGAAGTAGTTTGGAAGCAGGTAATGTCTGTTAAAGGCAGTGATTGACCCTTCCTTCCTTTCTTTCAATGCTCTGTGGCTTTTAAGAACAATCTGTAGCGAAGGTACTCTGTATATTGTGGGCCCCGCACCACGACCAAACTGTCTCTCTCCCTGATTTTGTACTTGCAGGCTGTTAAGAGTTCCACATTTTTAACTGAAGTCCATTTCTTACAATAAAACAGTATTTACATGGCTTTCTGTTGGTGTCTTCATTTCTGTTGATGAGGAATGGCCTACAGGTTTCCACATTTTTGAACAATAGTAAAAACCTCAAAACGATCAAGTATGGCATATAAAATAAATCATTTGAAATAATACTTGAGTCTGTATATTGGACATGTTGCTCTATACTGTATAGACTGTCTATTCTGTGTGTTGTATATAGCTTGTGTTTTTGTTGATTTATTGTTCTGTCAGTCAGGAAACATATCACCACTAGATGGCATTAGTGATCAATGCTTATCAATAGTTAAGACCGTGGGACTGAATATGCTAAAATAAGTGAACATGCTTTGTGCTTTTACTGGCTGTCTCTCTCTGCTAGGTTTGCTGGTGTGAGTAATAGAGCTGCTTTAAAGCAGTCATTAGTTGAGGTTTAGGTGAAGCATAAGAAGCACCGTGGGGTTTGAGGAGTGTTAGTCTGTTATTAAAGTGTGTGGGAGATTACAGCTCTTCTCAGTGTGGAACTGTAATAAATGTGTTTCACACACCTCTGAAACAGATGTCCCTCTGTCTGACAACACGTTTGTTTTGGAGGAATGCTGAAGCTCAACTAACCATTCACAACACACACTGGCCCAGCTAACCGATCACAACATACACTGGCCTAGCTAACCGATCACGGCACACACTGGCCCAGCTAACCGATCACGGCACACACTGGCCCAGCTAACCGATCACGGCACACACTGGCCCAGCTAACGGATCACGGCACACACTGGCCCAGCTAACCGATCACGGCACACACTGGCCCAGCTAACCGATCAAGAACAAAACATTTATAGCTGTATTTATAAACTGCTTACTAGTGCCTTTTAATGTTGGAACAATGCTTTATAAAGGATGAATTGACTATTTACTAATGCTTAACTAATGATTCATTGTGTGCCAATTTATTTAATGTTTAAGTTTTGAATATTAACTGACATTAATACATGCTATATAATTATTGTTCATGTTAATTAATATAGTTAATGTTAATAACTGAAACCTTATTGTAAAGTGTTACTAAAGTTTTATATTGTTCTGTGTATGTGTGTTTCACAGTCTTGATGGTTTGGATTAACCCTTTAATTGCCGTATCCCTTAAAACCAGACTGACAGACGGTTAGAGTAAATGCATGTGCTCGCTGTGCACCGTTCTCCTGATGCCTCCGGGGTGGCGTTTGCACTGACGGCTTGGGCCCGCCATCGCTGCTTGCAGCTATATTATTGAATTTATATTTATTAGCTTTATGTGCGTATATTGTCAGTTTTTAATTTTAAGTGGTTAGTATTAGCATTTAACTTTAATTTTTTTTTCAACTTTAGTTTTAGTCATTTTACTTATTTAGCTTAACATTTATTTAAATTTATATGGCAATGCAGCATTTCTAAATTTAATTAAAATTTAACATTTTTCATATAATATTTTATTTTATTTCAGCTTTACATAAGAGCATAATAGGACCCCTTTAAATTAGAAAAAAAAAGCCAAATAAAATCATTTTAACGTGTTTTCAGACTTTTGTATACATTTACTCGGATAATAATATGTTTTCATTTAAAACAACCTCTGAAATGTATTTTAATGTGTGACTGGTCATATGATCTCATAAAACTTATGAATAACTATATGGTCAAATGACAAACAACTGTAAAATTAGTTACTGAGCAACTGAGCTTTTCATGCTGCTTTAATAAGAAAATCTCTGTCTTTGGTTTTTATAAATTTAGGGCTATATAAATTTAGATTCCTTCTAAAACTTATTTTAATACAAAGTAAAAATCCAATGTGATTTTATTATCATTTAATATTGAATTTATATTTATTAGCTTTATGTGCGTATATTGTCAGTTTTTAATTTTAAGTGGTTAGTATTAGCATTTAACTTACATTTTTTTTTCAACTTTAGTTTTAGTCATTTTACTTATTTAGCTTAACATTTATTTAAATTTATATGGCAATGCAGCATTTCTAAATTTAATAAAAATTTAACATTTTTCATATAATATTTTATTTTATTTCAGCTTTACATAAATTAACAAAAATTGTTCAATGGTTTTAGTCAAAAGCAACATAAGTACAATGTGGAAGATTTTACATTCACTCAAGCATGTTTTTGACAGAGTACCTGTATTTTTTGCTGTATATTTGTGACAACTGTTGTGATTTCACCTGCTGCAGTCGTTGTCCTGTTCAGTTTAGTATCTCACTCTTCTTCTTCTTCTTTTCCACAGCTGCTTGTCGACAGTCTGTTGTTTATCAGAAAGACGTGCTGTTATTTTCAGGCACTTTGGGTTTTCTGTCTCCCATCTTTCTTACTTGTCTCTCAGTGCTTTGTCACTGCTGGGCACACCACTTTTCTTAGAGCGCTTATTTATCTCCCTTCAATTACAGAGGTCACAAAATGCCTGTGGCCTTTCCTAAAAAAGACAAAGATCTAAAACGTTCAACGATATAATGACTGGATTCATTCATTTTATGGAGATTCACAACATCCTGATATCATGTAGTGATCATTCTATAACTTCATCTGTCAGTTTATACGTTTTATTTCTGTATTTTATCCTAGTATGCAGGAAGTGTTCCAAAGTTGCCTAGATTATTTATGTGATGCATTTGCATCTTTATAAAAAAATCTACATTTTTTATATCTCAAAATGTGACTTTATGCTAAGCTTTCTCACAATTGTCTTATTTTTACCCTGAAGCGGAAAAATTATCATTCTAAATATGTAAGAATAGTCCAGTAATGACAGAGAGGAACGATATCGCTGGAGTCACTTTCATAACCATTATTTTTTCCAACTAACGTAAAAAAAATTATAAAAAGACCATCTCTGAAAAAAATCAGAATCGACCCAAGTTTAAAGAGCTTTAGCGTTTAAAGCGGCAGACGGCAAAACTGCACTACAGTGCATAATAGTACGCAACGTTATCGTCCTAAACTATTAGCTTGCTAATTTCTTAATAATTTACAATAAGGTTCCATTAGTAAATGTTGGTTAATACATTAATAATATTAACAGATACAACTTTTGACTTGGATAGTATGGTGACGTTAACATTTAGCCTTCTATAATTGATATAAAGTGCCTTGTAAATATTTTTCATAGTTAGTTCGTGTTGACCAAGGGTGAAAAGAGTTGGCCTTTTTTATTCTGCCCAATTAATTTATGCGTTAAGACTCGCCTTCCTTCCTCTCAGACACCAAAGAGCTGCAACCATTATAGCCCTTCAACATTATCATCTTGTGTCTGAAAACACCAATCACTGGCTAATGCTAATCACTTTGTTATGTGTGTGGAAATCCACGTCTCGTTTATCACATGTCGGTTGCATGTGCGTGTGCGTGTTCTTTGTGAGATATACACTCTCTCATCATTATAAGGGCTATAGAGTGTTGTCTGTCTGCCTGAAATGCTTCACTGCTCGCTTAGCGAGACCTCTGGCCTTTTGTTCTTTATCCGCAGTTAGCGCTCTGATTTTCTCCTTTCATGCAGACTGATCTTCAAAGCTTGTGATCTTAACAAAACTGTTTTGTTAAATCAGCCGTTTGACGGAGTGCAAAAGATGCTACAAACCTGTATGAAATTGCCATCCAGTCAGACGTGACGCTAACATGCTAACACAATAACCTCTCTGGGCTTGATGCCAGTATAATACATGAACTATATGCCTGAAGGCTATATATACAGTATCTGTGATGAAATTAGTTTGGATTATAAATGTCATCGGTGCCAGCTATTCGCTCTTTGCTAAAAAAGGCTTAGGCTGCTGGAAAGATTAATCTAGTACCCATCATGCCTGTTTGACTCAGGGATTAGGACTTAAACTCCATTTGTTTCAACTGGAACCAAGTTTGTTGTTGAAACTTTAATGCAGCACTCCTCGCTCGTGTCTTTGCTAGGGGCCAAATAATCTGATGTCCTATCTTTTGCTATTTCCTTTAATATGAGTTTGGTTTCAAGAGGATTTTCTGCTCTTTA